ACGGCGTGACAGCTGCATTGGGCCAATCAAAGTGTGCCACGTGTCCTTGGAATGAGAAGTGATTCAGTTGCTATGAATGAAGAGACATTATGACCAGACAGGTAGAGCCCGGTGTAAATTTAGTTTGGATGAAAAGGCTCAAGTGTTTAGCTCGGTTGTGCAACTAAAGTTTTGTAGCTCGGTTGGAGGGCTGAAACTTTTTAACTCGGCTGGTAACAAGTAATCCCTATCATGCTGTGCAGATAGAATTAAGGGGCAATTGAGAGGGTAATTTATATAAAAATTAGGCTGAGCTGGGTAATGGGCCGTTATGGGCCACAGTACGAAGGGCTGAGTAAAAAGGCCATGAAGTTACTCCGGTCCAAAAGAGGCTTGAAGTTACTCCGGTCCCAAAGGGCTTACGGTAAGCTCGGTTGTCACACATGAAGTTATCCCGGTCGGGACCACGGTATTGGTTATCCCGGTCGAGACATACCATGGTTAGCACTGGGAGAAATCGGGGTAAGAGCAGTGAATGGAAGAGCCGAGCTAAAGTTAGCTCGGTCTAGTCTGCGACTTAGCATAGCCATGCTTACCTCGGTCATATTGGAGTCCGACCATGGTAAAACCATCTCACTTAGTTTAAGCAGTGAGGAGGGTGTTGAAGGATAAGCATTATCTTTTGGGAATATGACTCCTAGGAGGACTCTACATGGAGGAGTAAGAGTCCTAGTAGGATTGTGCCACGCGGAACCTATAAAAGCTCACAACATCACTTATGGAGAGGTAACACAGCTTTGATTCTCGAATACACAGAGCTTTTGTCTATTTGTCTATTTCGCTGACTTAGGCAGCGGAGAGGTATCTGGCACACACCCGCCGGCTAGCTCGCATTTGTGTTTTTAGGGAGTAAAGTGACAACGTACGGAGGAGCGCAGACTTGATCAACAGGATTATACGAGAAGGTTTATTTCTTTCCCGTACAACTACCTATTCTTCTTCTTCTTCGTTTCAAAACCCTAGATCTAGAGTACATGGTGGAGATTGAGAATGGGGGATTCGAAGTGGGGAAGGGAAGTTAGAGAAAAGAGGTTGTCGGAAGGGAGTTTCCAGTTAAGGAATCAGAGTAGAGGTTGCTGGGGTTTGGGATTTGGTGGTGGCAGCGGTGGCGCTCGTCGGTGAGGGAGGATGACATTGTAGGTGAAAAAAGAAGGGTTCACCGATGAGGGAAAAGGGATCTGCCGATGAGGGAAAATAGGCTCGTCGATGAAGGAAAATGTACTCTCCAGAGGTGATGGTTAGGGGTGCATCAGTTTTGGATATAAGATGATGAGGATAAATTTGGTATTATCGTGAGTGTAATGAGATGAAATTAAAATTTCAAATTTTATGGAATGGTATAAAAAGAAAAAAAGGTTTAAGGAGATCCTTTCGTGGTGTAAGTAGAATTATTTTTATTTTCTTATATTTTAATAAGTCGGGTAATATAATTATCAAAATATTTCTAATAATAATAGGGTGAAACGCGTATTAATATTCATATTGACAATGAATGTTTTATGATGTGAACATTCACAATGTCAAATATGAATATTCACATCACTTATTTGCTAAGGGTTCAAAAAAATATTTGTAAAGCTAAAATTATTCATAAAATATATTAATTATAAAAAGGAAAAGTCTACAATGTGCACCTTCTAAAATGGCATATGATATGCACTTATTGTGTGGTTCATATTGTGCCACGTCATAAAAAGTAACTTGCTAAACAAGTCATTTAACAGGTTACATGAAAGAATCATAACGTTTTTCAAATATCATAACAATACTACAATGAATCATAACAATGTCAAAATATTCACCAAAGTATCATAACAAAGACACTATAAATCATAACAATATAATGACAACTCATAACAAATATAGTTATTTCTAATTAATTATCATAACATTTGAATCGTAACATTTTTTATTATGATTTACCATAACAAATCATAACTTTTGGTGGTACAAGTCATAACTTTTACTGATGAATCATAACCATAACACATTGAGTATAACTTTTTTTCCCACAATCATAACGACATTAACAAATTATCATAACTTTTATCAATGAATCATAACATATCATGTTGGTTGGAATTTTGTCCAGAAAATCATAACAACATTAATAAAACATCATAACTTTTAAAATTTCAAACACAATTGATTGTGTAATCAATTGGTATAGCATATTGGAGTGAATGGAAAATCATAATTGATTGCAAAATCAATTGAATTGAAAGGCCACAATTGATTATGCAATCGATTAGTGGCCAGAGTTTTGAACTATCACAATTGATTGTACAATCCATTGGAATATAAGGGATATTCAAATATCACAATTGATTGTAGGGATCCTTTATATAATAAACCTAATTGATTCAATAATCAATTAGTTTTCGTAAGCCACACTAAACCAATTAATTCCCAACTTATTCATAGTTCCCAATCAATTAGTAAAAGCCTAATCATTAATATTAATTTAGTCAATATTCGAACAGTAATTGATTGGTTGATCGGTTGCCATTTATATGTAATTTTGTTGTTGTGTTTTCATTACCTCAAACATTATCACTGACAAAAACGCATGACACTCTAACTACGTTTCTCGTTTTACAATTCTCTCTCTCTCTCTCTCTCTCTCAGTCATTATCGTCAATGTTAATGTTACCTAAAATGTTGTTGCTATGACTATCTCATCGACTCTCACTCTTTCTTTCCTTGTTCATTATTAGTGAATTAGACAACAATGTTATTGCTACCAACTTCAATTAATCATGCCCTTTGATCCACTGAAACACAACCATCATCATCGACTTAGGCCATTATAATAGCATTGTTGCCACTACTAGTGTCATGTTGTCATTATGCCAAATGATGACGTTGGGTAATAATGAACTTTGACCACATTGTAAACTGTTGCCTATTATTTCGTAGTCGGTCACTACCTTTTTACCATCACTCATTTTATTCTTAGATATATATTGTTTGTCATTGCACCCACCTTAGTCCCTATATTATTTGTCTTTCCTTATTTTTTGGTTCGATTTGCTAACTTCTAAAGATAACTCTAGAATTTTAAAAATTAACTTTTCTACTCTGATCACTTAGAAAACTTTGTTTTCCCACTTCAAAATAGATACACTACAACAAATTACACTTTTGGCGACTAAATTTTTAGTCAACAAAAGTCATTTTTTTAGTCGCTGAAGATTTTGCCGACTAAATTTTTTTGTCGCCAGCTTTGTCGCAAGATGATTGTTGGGAAAGGAATTGGCAACTAAATTTTTTTTAGTCGCCGAAAGTCACAAATTGACCACTAAAAATTTAGACGCCCAAAAGAAAATATTTAGTTGCCAAAAAGAAAATATTTTCAATCTTCAGTTTTTTGGCTACCAATTTTTTAGTCGCCAAAAACTTCCATTTTTTTGGCTACTAGTTGTTTTGTCGCCAATAAGTTCCTTTTTATTTTTTGGCTACTAAATGTTTAATAGCCAAAAGCTCAAGCTCTATTTATTAATTTTTTTAAAATGCACAAATTGAATATTTTTCATTAATTTTTAAATTATATACATTTCATTATCAATGCAATCTGCAACCTGTGCGTATACAGAATAATACATCTATCAATTATAATCTAAATCCATTATCAATAATACTCATTTCATTATCAACTATTCAAAAACTTTAACTTGTAACATCATATTTCAAATAGCATATAAATCCATACAAACCAAGCATAATCCATTTAAATTAAATATTACATACAAAAACATTGGATTTTCAAAATAGAGAATTGTTTTAAAATAAATGTCTTCCATATATAGAACAAATACTCTTCGTACACATCCACAATAGTCCATGCAAAAGCAATCTGTAAAAAAAGAAAAAAAAATTAACCATTAGCACTTATTCAATAAAATCGACGTTTCAATTTATAACAATTATAAAATTAATGATTTAGATATATTAATGTACTAGAAAATTCTACAAAAAAATGTAGGTGAAGGAAATTTAGAAGTGTACAAATAAACTAGCAGGAGGCAACCATTAGGATAACAAGAAAAAAACAAAATGAAGAAAACAATACTACCCACAAAAGCATTAACTACAAAAAGCCCTAGGATTTTTAATGGCCCTTTTGCATTAACTAAAGCATTTGACGTTAAAATTCAAAAATCTAAAATGAGGCTATTAGGGGGACAAAACAAAAGGGGCCATTTTCAAGTATAATGACATGATTCTGTTCTAGGATTATCTGTTATGGACTAAGTTGGCAGGAAAGCCCGAAAATGCTCACAATCTCTAAAGTAGAGGAAAGCCCAAAAAGTTGGCAGGAATAGGTCCAGTAAGATTGTTGCCTGATAAATCACTGCACATTTTTTGTCGATGATTGGTTCAAAAGTCCAGAAAATTGTTAGTATCATGGATAACTAGAATTTTCAAGGATACAGTCACTGAAGGAATTTTTGGCATTAGTGACATTTAAAAAACAACACTATAAGTCTCAAAACGCCGTTAAAGGATAAAGTGATGTTTGTAACTTGCGTCGAAGATACGGCCGCTATCTTAGGTATATGATGTTTATCAAACGTCACTAATGAGTTTGGCCGGCGCTTGTTAAAACACTATAATTTCTTAAACATCCGTTATGTTTAAACCGTAACAGTTGAATACTGACGTCATATGACAACATTTAGTGACGTTTTTTCAAAAATGCCATGATTGTCACTTACATCCAGAATTTTTAAGGTAGGCATATGAGCCAAGGCATTTTTAAGACTCTCCGCATCATCTTTGTGTTAGATTATTCCCCCTGAAAAACAAAGAAGTAACCTTGTCATGCACCAACAATGTTTGAAACAAAAGAAAAAATCCCCTGAAGTTGAAATTGGATTTGCAAGAAGACACAGAGATTATACATCAATGGGGGATACCTTAGATTGAGCACACTTAATGATTGCAATGACTTACTGAAGACAAGGACCTGCCACCAAAACGCGATGAGCTTTAGTAGTTGCAAACACTCCTCTGAACAAGTGAAATGCAACCTGATGTCCATGATGACATATATAGTTTAACGAAGCTTAGGCACATATCACATGTTCAAGTTCTCACTGAACCAGCAGAACTGCACTGCATAAAGCACTGGAAGAGAAAACCACAATATGTAGAAAAGTGAAAGGTGCAATTTCTAGAACTTGGATGGTTAAGCTGATCTTGGTTGTCTCCCCATACACGCTGTCAACCTCTGTCCTTGATTTGGTCTTCATCTTTATCCTTTTTGCCCCTCTCTCGATGACTCTAGTGATAACAAAACCCTCTCTTAAAACCAATGAGTACCACTCTGGTTTTACACTGTGTCTTTAAACCTATTCAAACCCTAAAAGTACCACAAATCCTGACCAACCTTAGATTCTTAAACTCAAGTAGTATTATGCCAAACTGGTAAAAAAGCAAAAACAAAAATATTAAACAAATAAATCCTTCTGTAATTTGTGACGCTAAATCCACATCATTAGATATGCCATTTGATGCCTTATGCGATGGAAAAACTACCCTATTTGAATAAACATATATACCCTGCTAAATCATCTTTAAAAGTTTCACATTTTTTTTTTATAACAATGAAAGAAAATTTTATTAGAGAACATGCCAAGGGGGCACAATCTCCAACTTTTTCTTCAGAAAAACAATTGTATCATGCTCCCCCCAAGTTGAAAGCAGCTCTAATGGATTGCTAGGAATTAGAAATTGAACATTTCTGCAATAAAATTTTCAAATGATAATGAATAGTTGGTGAACCCAGCAACTTGAAATTTATTTAAAAAAAAGAAAAAGAAAAAGAAAAAGAAAGAGAGCAAGCTTGATGTCATGCGAAGTTCAGTAAGCCCTGGATTACATTAGCAAAAATGTATATCAAGCTTGGGACAATATGGAACTGGAACTTTGTTTTATGCCCGTAAGGTTGTAATAGATTGATGACCATACAGAAACAATTTATTTCGCTAAGCTATTTTGTTGCTGTATTCTCATATAAAGAAGAGAATTAGCCCAGCAGGAAGAGTGTTGAATTATTATCGACCTAGTTCACCATGAAGCGCCACTACCAACACTGAACAAGCCCAGCTGAGCTCATAGTGACGGAGCCAAAGAACTCATCGCACCCCCTTCCCCTTTCAACGTTTATATAATGTATAGATTAATTCATTTACCAAATTCCGAGACATGCAAAACCACAATAATAAAATTTAAGCAATTGTAGAATGCTAATTCTTTCCTTTATTATTATATAGGAATAATTAACTACATGCTGAATTCAAAAAAAGGTTAAAAGGGTTGCTGCCAAAAATGCCCTTTTTACATTGAAACTGCTTTGCCTATTGGTGTTTCAAACTCACAGGTTTAAGAACAAAAACAAAGTATGGTCTGCTTCTTCCTCCCAAGATTCAAATTTCAAAGTATGGTCTCGGGCAGAGAAATAATAATCCCAAGTAATCCTATAAGGTGTTGCAAAAACATACAGATCCATACAGGTCCAGCTGTGAGCTGCAGAAGTTTGTGGAAAGAAAAATAAAGTTAAGAAAACCAACATTGAAAGAGTAGCATGACAAGCAAGAAAATTAGGCATATATTCAAAATTGAAACTCATAAGTCCAAAACAAACTCTGAATATATGCGAGTGTGGAGGCTGTTGTAGATGCAGCCAATTGGCTGTGGATATAGGCTCACACTTGAATATCAAATTTTAATTTCAAAATGGTTAGGCCAGATACATTAACATGGCCATTTTTGCAATTCACTTGATATTCGTGTTACTACTGTAAGACATATTGAGAGAGGGCCTACCTCATTTAAGTTATAACTTGACTCTCGAAGTCTCTCACTCCAGAAATTAATGTCCCAGTGGGTCAATTCTTTAGATTCTACACAGCACCTTGACTTTTAGCAAAACCTTTGAGCTCCTGCATGTCTTTGATAATTGAAAGAACAACCAGGAAAAAAAATAATTAATAAAGAGGTTGTTAGGGAAAACTTTCTTTTTTGGTCATGAACAATTCCATAACTAGAGCATCAACCAGAGAGCATCCAAGATATCTATATGATTGATTGCTATAATCAGGTGAGTGAAGAAAGATTCTACACTAATAAACCTCTATAATGGATACATACGCCATTAGGACAGAAAAATGGTTGAAGATGCAAACCAATAGGAAAGATGTACCATCACACAAAATACGGCTCCGACTAGCAAAATTCGATCGGAGAGATTGAATATTACCATAATAGCAGACACAAAATGGAGGCTTTTAACTATATAAGACACAAAATGATTTTGTAAAGATGCATAAAATGTCTGGAGGAGCCAATTGGCAAGTAATTAGTGCCATAATATCTGATAGCTACTCATGAACTTACATATAAGCAAGGTGTGGTATCCTGCTCAGGTCAGGGATTTGTCCTTGCAAGCAACAGTTCCTAAGACTCCTGATACAGTTAATAATACTGATTCATAAGCAATCTCAAGAAGCACTGAAACATATGCATGTGCATGTTCCTCAATCTCATAAGAAAAGAGCATAAAGCTTTCAAGGAAAAGAAAGGTAGTCAATAGATAGTTGACGTGTCATGAGCACTCTATCTCCTCTAAATGTAGCTTAATTTTTTATTTAAATCAAAGAAGAAAAAAAGAAGAAGAGGCATTATGAAGCTAAAGCATCGTGCCTCTTGGCTTACATCTCATGCAAAAACAGAATAGATAACATGACACTTTGCCTCAAGCTTAAACATTTTCTATTTACTTACAAAATAATAAAAAAAGCATATGCACTTACAACTTCAACAATGGAGACATGTTGCCATAAGAATCTGGTATTGTAGCCCCATCAAAGTGGTTGTTGTCCAGTTGACTGCCAAATAAAAAAAGAAGAAAATTTATGAGACATTAAACACAAGATACTTTGTGCTCCTTCAATAGGCTAAACATGGTTTCCTCATTAACATAATGAAGAAAAAATCAAAAGCGATATTACAGAGATAATCTTCATGGAGGGTGACATGCTATTTTTACACCCATACACATTCACATGTATATATATATATATATATTCTTCTTTACAGATGCATTGTGCACACCAACTCAACAAAGCCTCAGATCCCAGATATCCCACCTAATTGGGGTCTCTGCTCTTGATGTATAACACATACAAAATATAATGTACTCAACCTTGTATTCATTTATGAGGAAACTAATAGAGTGATTTTGTATTCTAATAACTACAGAAGCAGAAAACGTACAGTATCAGTAGACTAGGCAGATTGGCGAGCTCTCACGGAAGATGCCCTGATAAATTATTATTGTCAAGTAACCTGCAGAATTTTACGTCATTCAGATAGAAAGGAAAAAAGAACAGATTTTGGTACCCCATGCCATGTGAGTCAATTAAACAAAAATACCTTTAGATTGTATTTGAATCTTGAATTTGTGGACAAAAAGGAAAAACAAGGGAAAAATGACAAAAATTTAATAGTTTAGTACACCATGTCATGCGAGTCAATTAAATATTGATAGGTTATGCTTGAATCTTGAATTCGAATACGAATTGTGAATAGAAACGAAAGTAGACCAAATTAGACAATTTTTAATTCATGCCATTTTTTGACAACACTAAATGGTGGAACAAAGAAGTGGATGATCCCATAAAAAAAATGTTCATATGATTATGATGTTACTAGGCAAGCGCGCTTTCTATTGCCTACCTTGCTAGCCATATCAGCAAAAGATGCATTACCTCCATGTTCACTATTAATACATATTTTTGTATTTTCAAACAATGCCACAATCAATTTAAAAGGCTGTTGAGGCTTTTGGATTAAGACTCACTTTGAAGATCAAGGAAAGCAGCTTACAACAAAACCTTGCAGCTTAAAAAACCAAAGGCTCGAGCCCAAGAAGCAAGGCTCTTATAAAAGACAAGCATCACACTTAAACTGATCTTATTCCTGCAATGCATGCTTCTCAACCTAGCCCAATGCAAGCAACCTATACCGATCATCACAAACTTACTTTTTAATTGTCAGTCTTGCTAGTTTATTTCAACACATTAAGATACACACATTCTACAAATCACACCACTAGTTATAGATATCACTATTTTTACTTCTTTGCATGATCAGTTAGAAGTTTAAATCATAACAACTTGGTAGCTAAATTAAATTTCTATGAGCTTTGCACAAATAATTTGCTCCTCAAACATAGAATCCCAAAAATAGTTGTACGACATTGGTGTCCTCGTATAGTTTTAAAAATCTCATCATTTCATAACTTTTATTCTATTGTTAATACCTTGTAGATTTTCTAATTTAGGCCTTAGTCCTATCAAATTTTGGCATTTCATCGTCTCCAAGGTAACTTATAAACCATTTTAGAGCATCTCCAACCTTTCACCAATTTTTTCAACTAATTTGATTTCAAATTTGAGTAAAAAAAACTCGATTTTATATGAACTACTCAAATCCTTTCATTAAAATCTTTTTAAAAACCTTCATCTTATCCAAAATTCCCCTTTTCATCAAATTGATCAAGAAAACCCATCTCCAATGCTTCATTTTTTTTTTCTCTCATCAAATTCAAATTTACTTTATTGGTTCTCAATTTGATAAAAAAAAAATAACTCTCCCTTCATGAGATTTGATGAAATAATTAGAGATAATTTTTTAACACTTTTGAAGAAAAAAAAACAAAAATAACAAAATGGGTATTCAACTAAGTCACAGTAACATCAAAATAGCCATTAATTTCTCACTTTCCACAATTCCCAAACAATTGCTAAAGGTAATACATCCCAAACCACTGTAATTTTCTTTCTAATAGGAAAAACAAGCCACCACAAGAGTAATTGTTACAAACATAAACAGATTTCAATAAACAAATAAAAAATTACAGTCTTATATCAGTTACATGAGTACAAAATTTAGTTACCCACACATCAGATTTTACACACTCAAGCCAAATTTCAAGTATATATATACATATGAAATCAAAACAACTACCAAAGCAAACAAGCATCAAAAACCTAAACCGATTCAAATCATATTTTCCTAATTTTATAAACCAATCACAATGGTGAAAGGGGCAGTTTCGAAGAAGGGGATTTCAGTGTAGGGTTTCATAGAATGGAGATAGAGAAAGGGAGAGAAAAAGTTGCAGCGAGAGAGAGAGAGAGAGAGAGAGAGATACCTTGAGGCGAAATCGAGGGCACGTTATGTTCGCGGGATAGTCTTCGAGGGCGAAGAACAGCTTCGAAGTCGTGTCCGAAGAAAGCTCCGGAGTCGTGTCTGAAGAAGGCGAAGAGAAGCTTCGGAGTCGTCTCTGAAGAGAGCTCTAGAGTCGTGTCTGAAGAGGGCGAATAGGAGTTTCAGATTGGTCTGAAGAATAAGGCTTTTGGGAAAACAAAGTGAAGAGGGTTTGTGGAACATACAACAATTGGTGAACAAAATGCTAACCGGTTGAGACGGTATTCAATATTTTCAATCAAATTATTTTTTGGTTGAGATTCATTTATAAATATCTAATGGTTTAAAATAAATGTGTAGATGATGTGCACTATTTTATAACGTGCACATCTTAACAGCTCCCTTATAAAAATTAAGATTTGATGGATCAAATGTTCAAATAAAAGAACTTATTAAAACACAAAAATATGTTATAAGCACTAATTAAGATATAAGCATTTAAAAAATGATTTCTTAATAAATTTGTATTCTTTTACATATTTTTCACCAAATTAAATATATATATATATATATATATATGTGAGTGACTATATATTTTAAAAAAAATATGGAAACACAACCAAACAATTTTGTTAAACTAACCCTAAATAATACAAGAGTTTTGCTATGTCTCTTATTTCATCTCCCCAATTACATCTCTAATGAGGTGACAAACAATTTTAAAAGGAGAGAGAAGAGTTTGAAGAGAATTTGTTGGTTGGTATTATTTGCCACCTAATTAAGGGGTTGTTTGAGACATCTTAAATAAGTATATTTTTTGACTTTTTTGACTAAAAAGTTAAGAAAAAAAAGATAGTTATTTTTTATAACTTTTTGACTTTTTACGAAAAAAATGTGTATTAAAAAATGGTATAAATTTGTGTGTAGGAGAATATTGTGATGGAATAGGCCGTACGGTCGGAAGGTGTAAGGGGTAGCGTACGCAAAGTGTAGGGTAGGAGATGATTCCCTCCTTTTCGGGCATTGAATTAGACAATGTTATTCAGCTCGTGGGGGCCTACCACGGGTCCCGTTTTGCTAATCGGAACCGTTCAATGTGTAGAACTTGTCGAGTGCTATATGCTTGTAAAAAAATCACGCTGATCAGATATCGGTAGCTATCTGATCGAATTAGTTTTTTTTTCAACCGTTAACTATAACACATCCATTTTTTATACAAAATTGATTTGATCATATAGTTAGCGATATCTGACCAACGTGTTTTTTTATAGACATATAGTACTCGACGAGTTCTACACATTGAACGGTTTAGATTATCAAAACGGGACCCGTGATGGCCCCCACAGGCCGAACAACACCATCCTTAAGCTTGCCTCCACCTGTGTAATTTATCCTCACCAAAGTCAGGCAAAGACAACTCACGTCAGAGTGAGTTGTCTCACAATTTGTATAAAAATAATTTTTTTATAATTTTTTTTTTTGTGAATAGTGATACTTTTTTAACTTTTTTAATAACTTTTTGACATTTTATCTTATTTTGAAGGTGCCAAACTAGGACTAAAGGTGCAATTGACAGTGATGAAATAGAGGAATGTAATATTTCTCTTTGTATTATCTAAAATGCCAAAGGTCCCAAATAATTTACAAATTTTTTTACTTAACCACTCACATCCTCAAATAATTTGTCAAAAATTTTACAAAATCATTCGCATAATTATTTAGTTAAAATTTTAATAAAACATTTGCGTCTCTACATTACTCTAAATAATAGTACCCTACCTGTCCCAAAAATATTGGTCATTTTTAAGAAACTTCACTTTTTTTAGTAGTACAATTATTACATTTTAAAAATATTAAATTTCTAAAATTACCCTTTGATTTAAAATTGAAATAGTATAAATTTTTTTTTAGAAAATTAATTTTCATAAATATACTTTTATGTATATTAATATTAATAAATCTAAAAAAATGGCAAAATAAAAATTCATATTATTTTAGTACTTAGTATTTGAAAAGGGATTAATATTTTAAAATAATAAAAAATAAAATGAAGAACTAATATTTTAAGACAGAAGAAATATAAGATTTTAAATGTCTCTATCATTACTCTAAAACCATCTCTAACTAGTATCTTTTGTTTCATCAAATTTAAATTTGAAGAAAATAGGTGTCTTTTGCTGTTTCAACCTTATCACCAAATAAGTATCGAATTCAAGATTTCTCAAATCATTTATTAAATTGAAGATGGATGTGTCTTTCATTAAATCACTATTTATAATTATTGAAAGTAAATGTCATTTTTACCACAAGACGACTGATATTCAGCTAGTTGTCTTCTTAGATAACCACATCCTTATAAAAATTTATGAAAAAATTACACCGGCTAAATATCTGTCCGGCCAATCAATATTTTGATGAAAATTCAAAATCTTCCGTTAAAACACATAATATCAGATAAAATTTTTATTTAATTCAAAAAAAAAAAAAAAACCTAAAGTGCTCTAAAAAGCCGATGAGGTAAACAAAAGCCGAAGAGAATTCCAAATTCCAAATTCCAAACCAAACGACGTACTTGACTCCACTTACGTTTTGAGCTACCAAAGTCAAACTCTCTCTCTCTCCCAAAAAAGCCGATGCGGTAAACAAAAGCCGAAGAGAATTCCAAATTCCAAACCAAACGACGTACTTGACTCCACTTACGTTTTGAGCTACCAAAGTCAAACTCTCTCTCTCTCTCTCTCTCTCGGAGAGTAGTATATGCAAATTCTCGCCATGAGCGTCGACGGCGGTTCTGCGCCGCCACCGTTGACCACCGTGGCGGTGGCCGTAAAGGGCGGCCGCGGCGGTGACGGAGGCAGAGGAAGCCGTCGAGCTGTCCGGTGGGCGGCGGAGAATCTGATGCCTAAAGCTGATCGTATCGTCCTTATTCACGTCATGCCTGCCATCACTACAATCCCAACTCCTTGTAAATCTTCTTCATTTCTCTCTTCATATATAAATGTGTGTTTATTTATTCATATATAGATCCATATGTATGTAGTATAGGTATTATTGTTGTTGTTGTGGTTGTTGTGTGTATTTCAACTGTTTGATGAAATTTTTTGACTTAATGCTTCACCAATTCTTTTATCAAATTTGAATATTGATCCATTTGTATGTATAGGCATTGTTGTTGTTGTTGTTGTTGTTGTTGTGTGTATTTCAACTGTTTGATGAATTTTTTAACTCAATGCTTCACCACCAATTCTTTTATCAATTTCGGATTTGATGCATAAAGAGCTGAAACTGAGCTCCAATCATTTCATCAAATTCATCAAGCATTCACATTTTTTTGCTGAAATTTGATGAAATTTTATACGGAGTATGGATGGGAGATGGTTTTCTTTCATAGCAAATGGTTAAAACATATTATTAGGATAATTTTAGAATTTTTCAAAAATATTTGATGAGAAAAAGAGAATAAGGATTGGAGATGGTCAATCTACTGAGGAGGAGGAAATTTAACATTTAAAAGTTATATTTTTGTTAGTATTCTCTTGATTTTTCCTTGGCTTTCAGGGCAATCAAACAGACTTTCATGGACATGTATGTTGTGTTTGGTTGGGGGATGATTTGGGAAGGGATTTAGAAACGGAAAGGGAAAGTGTTTCCAAATCGCTTCCCAAACTTTTTCCTTTCCCTTTTCCAAATTGCTTCCCAAACTTTTCCTTTTCCCTTTCCCTTTTCCAAATTGCTTCCCAAATCCTGCAACCAAACATAGTGTATTTTAGCCTGAAGAAGGAAATTGTTTTGTACTGTCAAAATATGGGCTCTTTCTTTTTGGTTTCCTAATTTGGGTTTTTGTGCATTTCAATTGTTTGATGAATCTTGACTTGATACATTTTGTTAGAATCTACTGAAGGGGACAAAATGTAACATTTAGAAGTTATATATTTTTTGTAATTTTCCATAGCATTCAGGCAATCAAACAAACTTTCATGGACATCATGGATATGTGTGGTCTGAAGAATAAACTTCGTTTTAAACTGTTAAAAATTTGAGCTCTTTCTTCTTGGTTTCCTAATTTGGGTTTTTGTGTAAATTTTCACATCCCAATACAATCTTGGCGTGTCAAATGGAACTGAATTGTGAAAAGAATAATGCCATACGAACTAAGGCCATCTCCAACCCTAACCCAAAATTTTACTCAAATTTGAGTAAAAACTTTATTTGATATGAAGCACTCCAATAGAAAATGACGGTTGTAAATTTGAAAGTTACAAAATGACCTTGAAAATTTTGAGTGAGCATTTGAGTAGCCGTTGTTTTGGGTAAAAAAATGTGTAAAACTCTATTTGATATAAGTTTGAGTCAAGGAGTAGAGAAAATTTTGAGTGATTTTTACCCAAATTTAAAATTGATATAGGTTTGAGTCAAGGGTTGGGGATGTCCTAATTAACTGATGTGTCATACAATAATGAAGCTTTGGAATTTGAAACAGAGCATATTTAATGATATGATAGAAAATTTAGAAAAGATTTGTTTGTTTGTACAACATTACTCTTTGTGAAATATTTGTAAGGAAAGTGATGAACTTTCCTTTTCCTTTTTCCTTTGTTTATTTATTTATTTATTTTTTGGGCTTACTTGTAATACAACTATATTTGGTCAATTTCAAGCAAGTAAATATGAATCTATACAAATGAAATTATAATTTTCTCTTGATATTAGTTTTAATGCAGCAACTGCATTTTTCTTTGGGTTTTAGACTTCAGAAACTTCAACTCTATTTTTCAAGACTGTTGACAATTGGTCTTTTATTTTCATTACTGCTGAATTGTGCCACTCTGAAATTTGAATGACTTAAACGTATCCTCTTGTGGGCATTGCCATGTTCTGTAGCTGGAGACAGTATACCCATTGAGGAATTGGATGCAAATGTGGTACGAATGTTTGTGCATGACATGAAACTAAAGTTTGAAGAGATCTTTATACCATTTAAGAAACTATGCAAAACAAGAAAGGTGAGTTTGTTTTGTCCTTTTTGGGTATATAAATATTTTTTAAATTGAGTTGGTGTTGAAGTATAATTTCAATTTGGTTTTTTCCTAGATCGAAACTTTGGTGCTGGAAGGTGATAATCCCGCATCATCACTTCTTAAATATATTACTGACTTGGGTATAAGAAGTTTGGTGTTAGGCTCTTGCTCTTCCTACTGTTTCACGAGGTAAGGTACCATGAATGTCTGTACACACAATAAATTGTTCATTTCATGGCTCTTTATCCTCCTACTAGTTATTAGCCAATTGGTAGTATTTTACTGTTTGTGTGTTTTGGTTCACCTACTGATATTTTCTTGTGGATATTACTATGCGAGGGCTTATTACTAGGAATTGAATGGGATAACAACATAAAGTTATCATTATCTTCTATTACATTGGTTGTATTGTGTGTTAAGCTAAGGGTTCAACCATTCGGCTAAATACCATCTTTCACTCAATGGTTTTGATTTGTTAGCTTAACAAGCCCCCTTAATGCTTATTTGAGTTTCTTACATATTTTGAACTTCATTTCTCAATAAATACTAATACTAATTTTCTGGTCACCTCATTTTAGGAAGCTAAAAAACTCCAGTGTGCCATCGGTAGTTCTGAAACATGCTCCTGAAACTTGTGAAGTTTATGTTGTGTCAAGACGTAGGCTCATCACAACTTGTTCCAACCACTTGTCAACTAGTGGTAATTTGAAACACTTTCTTTTCATTCTGCACAGTTTCCATGTCCTTAATTGTTTCTTTTTCCATTACATATTTTTTTTCTGCCTTCATTTTACAGAAAACAACTCTAGACATTGCTTGTTCACTCAAAGAGAGCGTGGTTCACTTAAAATTATTAAGTTGAAACCTGACCTTTATTCTTTGTCGACTGAGACGTTTGGAGCATCATCAGTGTCAGATCTTAGTCAACTGAACTCTAAAGCAATTGTAAGACAGAGCTCTCCAGGTCATTCTAGCGCACTTCCTGAAAAAAATCGTCAAATGTTGGAAAATAATAACCTGGAAATTCAGACAGTAAAGGGATCCCCGTCTGTGGCTTCTATAGACACAAAGCAGGTGAATTGGTTTCAGTTTTTCCTCCTACAGTTACATATTCTCTTTTAAGGATTTGAATAGATTTATTCAGATCCAACGGACAGTGTGTTTGATCATAATCTTAATTACTTGCTTTGTGCACATTTTAACGAAGTGTATGACAAAGGCAAGACAAATCAGTTCTTACCTTTAGAGATGGGTATTTTTCTGCAGTCAGACGTGCAGGCTGAAGTAGAACAACTGCGTCTAGAATTAGAGAGCACTGTTTCCATGTACAATCGAGCTTGTGAGGATCTTGTCCATGCCCAAAACAAGGTGAGCATTTGATCAATTAACAAAGTCCCTAGATTTTGATCTATTTTATGGCTTTTACTTTGATGATATTCGCCAAGTGCCAACTTATTTTAAGGCATTTCAAACTGTTTTCATTTTTGAAATTCTGATGAAGATTGACTCATTTCCTGTACGAAAAACTTTAAATCCAGAAATATATTCAAAGTTTTGTGCTTTTTTACTTCATCTAGTTCCAGAGTAGATTTCAAAGGTGACTTCAATATATTTATTGACTTCCACTCCATGCAGGGAGAGTAAGAACACTAATTTGACCTTGAATATGAAGCAAGACTTGTAATGACTCTATCTACAAATGAAAAACTTAGATGCTCTCATTTTCTGTGATACACATGTGTTACATTTATACCAAATGCGTAGACCTTTAATATTGAAGCTCTATTTCACAGGTTCGCCTGCTTTCTACTGAATGCCTTGAAGAAGCAAGACAAGTAAATGCTGCACTGAAAAGAGAAGAAGTTTACAGGAAAATTGCTGCCGAAGAGAAAGAGAAGCATTCGGAAGCTGTGAAGGAGGTTGAGATGGCAAGAAATCTGCTTGCTAAAGAGGCTTACGAAAGGCAGATAGCAGAATTGAAAGCCCTCAAAGAATCTTTGGAGAAACAGAAAATTGCTGATGCACTCTTTACAAATGACAGAAGGTACAAACGATACACGAGGGATGAAATAGAGATTGCCACTGATTTCTTCTCTGATACTAAGATGATCGGTGAAGGAGCATACGGGAAAGTTTACAGATGTAGCCTTGATAACACACCAGTAGCTGTCAAAATTCTCCAGCCTGGTGCATCAGACAAGAAACAGGAGTTTTTGAGAGAGGTTTCTTCTTTAGCTATACTTGTTGCTTTCTCTCATTCAAGTTCACATGCCTGCTTGAGGCTTTTCTTTGTCTATTAGCACAATCATTTGATAACTTCTTAAACTTTTCACAAGTAGTGAATGCAGAATAAGTTTTAATTGTGCACATAAGCTGATTTTGTTACATGTATTCAATAATAAGGAAATCTTTCATTAACCTCGTGAACATTGTGAGCAGTTTGAAATTCATGATCTATTGGCCCCGTTTGGTACCACTTATAAGTTAGCCTTTTAGATTATTAGCTTAAAAGACTTAAGTTATAAATTTGTTTGGTGCAACTAAATTTTTTTAAACTTGTTTGGTTAAATACCCCGTCACATAGTTTTTTTGTTGTGCAAATATCCAGAATGCCCAAGTCTTGTTTGAGACAAAAGAGTCCATGAAGCATAAAAAAAATAAATTAAAAGAGCTACAAATTGTAGCTTAAGAAATTCTCACTTTTTTTTCTTTTTCTTTTTTTTTTAATAAATAAATAAGATGAAAAAGTCAAACAATTTATATTTTAAAATTGCAACCAAACACTATTAGTCAACTTTTTTTTGGCAAATTAGCTAATAAGTTGATTTATAAGGGCTACCAAAATGGGGGCATTCTATTGTTCACACTTGTGTTAACACCCACAGAAACATGTTGATTAGTCTTGCCCTAGCGGGCAACTACTAATCTAATAATATAAATATTTGTGAAACTTCTTTTGAATTTTAGCATAGCCTTTGGCTTATTGACTTTTTGGTTGATCTCTTTTCTGTTATCTAATTCTCAAACTATGTTCTATTTCCGCTAATATTTCCTTGGCCAGTTTAGTCACTTTAACCATCATGGCAATGATTCCTTCTGTCCTCTGTCAATTATTTGCAGGTCGAAGTTCTTAGCCAGCTACGCCATCCACATATTGTTTTACTGCTTGGTGCCTGTCCGGAGACCGGTTGCTTGGTTTATGAATATATGGAAAATGGTAGCCTAGAGGATCATATTTTCAACAGAAACAGTGGGCATCCCCTTCCTTGGTTTGTTCGATTCCGGATAGCATTTGAAGTAGCTTGTGGACTTGCATTCTTACACAACTCAAAACCAGAGCCTATTGTTCATCGAGATCTAAAACCAGGAAACATTCTTTTGAACAGAAATTATGTGAGCAAAATTGGCGACGTGGGTTTGGCAAAACTTATTTCAGACGTTGTGCCCGACAACATCACAGAATACAGGGACTCCATTCTTGCTGGTACTCTTTACTATATGGATCCAGAATATCAAAGAACTGGCACGGTCCGAACCAAATCAGATCTATATGCTTTTGGAATCATTACCCTCCAATTGCTGGCTGCAAAACATCCAAATGGGCTTTTATTGAAAGTTGAAAATGCGATTGCCAATGGTTCCTTATCTGAGATACTGGACAAGTCTATACCAGATTGGCCACTTCAGGAAGCTGAGGAACTAGCTCAGGTGGCCCTGAAATGCTCCAGACTTCGATGCAGAGAAAGGCCGGATCTTGAAACTGAAGTTCTGCCAGTTTTGAAGAAACTTGTTGATATCGCAGATGCTAGTTTAATTGTAGAAAGGAACAGTATTCATGCACCTAGCCATTACTTCTGCCCAATCCTTCAGGTGAAAAATTCAAACTCCATAAGATCATATGCTATGAAGCACAAACACCTTTCTGGAGGTCACATATAGATGTCTGATACAATGGGATGGGAATGCCGCCCTTGCATCCCCCCCAGCCCTGTTTTGCATGGGTTTTCCCTGCCCCATTAATAAACGGGGCGCCATGATTACATTAAATATTACCTTTTCATGTATATATATAAAAATTAGTTTGATAAGTATAATATGATTAAAACGCCAATATATATGTATAACATTTTCACATCTCTATTTCTCATCTTTGATCTTTTTAATTCTTATAACTTATTAATTGTTGTCCATCATAGGTCATATCGTCTGTCATTTAGTTTCATTCCCTCCTAGAGGTTGCAAATTACACCGTCATCTCCCCAATTTTCTTGGTCCCGTCCCCGTCCCAATCAAGAATGGGCCGGGCATGGGACACCCCAAACCCACCCTGCCCTGACCTGGCCCATTGCTATCCCTACTGACATGCTTTGTACATGTGTCGGACACACTCTCGATGCTGAGAACATGCGATGGACACATTGTGCCCCATTTGTTTTATTTTATTTATTTATTTTTCATCGAAATAGTATACCCATGGTTGATGAATTTGATGAGAATAGATCTTTGCTATGGAATAATTGTATAATATTTACATATATGACATAATAAAATATATATAATTATATCTTTTGCATGTGTCCACCTTTACTTTTTGAAAATTTAATATTTACATTTCCTCGTGTCCGTATCCGTCTCCGTGTCTATGCTTTATAGATTGTGTTTATAGCTTTCGATTTTATATGTTGGCTGCACCTCATATTCTACCTTTCTATGTCCGTTATGCCACGGCTAATGTAGGATGTAATGGATGATCCACACATTGCGCCCGATGGTTTTACTTATGAGCTTCGAGCGATCAAGGCATGGCTCGAGAGACATAATGTATCACCAGTAACAAAGCTTCGGCTGCAGCATACAACGCTTATTCCAAACCATACATTACGTTCTGCGATACAAGAATGGAGGTCACGTATAACATCTGTGTCTGAGTAGTACAACGATTGCTGTATAGAAATTGACGGAAGCAGTTTAGTTCACAAAGCTAGGTTTGACTCGGGACTTCAAGCATTCTTGGAACAATTTCTATGTAAATTCTAGTATGTGGTGTATATCTTAAAGATAACTATAGTGAATATTATGCTTCTCTGTAAAAAGATTGTTAAGTTACAAATTGTTTGGAAGATGGAAGTTTCTTCTTCATACTGACTGCAAGTTTTTCAGTGAGTGTTGGACCTGTTGATATGTTCTCTATTTGCGTTAAATTGGATTGGTTTTGTGCGTCTGATTAAGGAAATAACCGAAGACAAATGTAGGCTTGAATTTGGCATTGTTATATTATTGGTTCATCACCAGATTCGGATACAATACTTAGTTTGGTTTGATTAGGTTATTTACACCCCCCCAGTCTTATAGGTTGGCTGAAATCGTTCAGAACGTGAACCATCTCTAAGGGCCGGCCTCGGTGCAACATCATTAAGGTTGCCACAGAAACAGTCTCACATAGTAAGGTTGAATGTGGTAGGTGCTGCTAAGTGAACACTCTGCCCGTAAAATGCTGGAGTACTATAGTAATATCCAGTACATAAATGTAAGGACACAGTATGTGTGTAGGGGTGTTCACAGGCCCGACCAATCCACCAAAATTGATCTGGCCTGACCCAATCCACATGTTTTTAAGCGGTTTTGATAATATAAGCGGACAGATGCGGACGAAATTTTTTCAAATCCGTCTATGTTCGGACGGATGGCAGATGAGAAACCAACCAACTTGATCTACCAATCCTCTTAAGAAAATAATGTTATATTTTTATGTTTTGTAAATATTTTATTTAGTAATAATCTTAGGTATTTATGAAATATGAAAGTTTGGCTTTTATTTTAATCATAAAAAATGAAGAATAAAAAATTTTGGGCTAAAATAAAACCCAAAATAATAAAAAATTATTCTAAAATAATTTTTAAAAAAGCATAAAATAGTAAAGTTTAAACCGTTAAATCGAGTCGCATCCACCCGTCCAACCCGCATGGCCCGCTCAATTCACATATGCTAACTAAGCCGATAGATGTGGATTAATTTTTTCTAATCCGTCTAAGTTCGGACGAATTGCAGATAGGAAACCATTCGACCCAATCCCATCCGCGAGCACCCTAGTGTACAATATATCTGCGTGCAAAGATGCAAATTCTTGGCTCCAATCACAAATTAGAGAATTCAAATTCTGGACAAGGTAATAATGCCTTTAATCATAATTACATTACATAGTAGCAAATTAGGCAATTTCAAAGCTGCTTGAGGCAATATGACTAAACAAACCCGGCACACCCAACCCATCAAACTCTCCCATTACATGTTTCTCTATTGCAAATTGCAACAATGGCTTCAGTGGATTCAAAAACCCATGATCCTTTACATTTGACAATTTTGACAATTATATGTACATTATATATTGTAGGATAAGATTGCGTACATCTGACTTTTCTCAAACTTTGCAATGGCAAGGTCTCGTGCACTAGATTGTTATTTTATTTATTTATTTATATTTTTTTAGTTGATGTCTTGAGAAATACAAACGCATATTGATATGTCTATGCTAGAAATGTTAAGCACATCAGATATCAAATTCAGCAAATTCTAATGCATTAGCATCTGGATCTCGGAAGAAGATGGCTGGCCTCCCAGAGCGGCTTAAGTAGATAGAGAATAGGAAGTAGGGAATTCCTGTAACAACCGAGCATGAGAAGAAGTCCATTTTAGAAAAAAACACATTTTTATAAAAACCTAAAAGAGATTTGGAGATTTTTTGGCATATTCAAGTAAAGAATGATGTGGTAAAACTGTGAACCTATCACTTTAAACAAAAAAATCTTTCAATGTTAATGACACATCATTCTGGTAATGATTCTGTAATAGCATTTTCAAATGGGATTTGAAGATCTTTGGCGAATTCAAGTAAAGAAGGATGAAGCGGAGGAGGAGGAAATTTACCAGCTTTATCAAGGATCGCTTTCAACCTAGACACATCCTGAATCGCAACACATGTATGACGATCTCGGCCCCCATGTTGAGGCCGACCAGTCAAGGGATCAGGATTTGGAAGCTCCATGAGATGAATCATCTCAGAGCCCACCCATAGCCAAGCACCCCTATAGGGGAGCTTATCATCTGGCCTTGCCTCATTTATCTTCAGACCTGACCTCAAATTCTTATTTAGAATTTCTGTTAAATAAATGATATATACAATTGCCTTCAGAGCGAAATAGTTAACATACCAAGCACATTTTGGTAAAAATCAAGTGACCTTTCGAGGTTTTCACATAGTATTCCCACATGGTGCATGCTAACGATTCCATAATCTGCATCAATATCAGCAATAAACTTTAAAGGTCCTGCTAACGACTTCCCAATGGGCATTTTTTAAGAACTAAATAAAGTTAAAAAAAATTATATCTCACATATATTCCCACACACTTTTATATATTTCTATATATATTTTTCTCATATTTCAATACACTTTTTACAAATATACCAATATGGGCGATTAGTATTTCCTTCTATTAAATAAATGCATCTGCGACTGTACTCCCTATATTAAGCCAGAAGGCCTTTAGTCTCTATGTGATTTAGTGTTTGGATGATCTCTCACCCATTTAAAGGCCTCCAAAGGGCCCTTCTTCACTTCAATCAAGGCTTGATAAGAGTGGATTATGTGGCTTGGCGGCTAAGAGTAAGAGATTGTCAAGGCATCGGTGATTATCTTACCCTCGATACCAAAAAGGGACTTGCACTATGTTCATCTCAGTCAGGCAATTAGAAAGGGATCTTTCCATGTGGTCCCTGAGCCACACAGTATCACCTGATCACCATATGGATTTTTGGACTCAAAGCGAGTCCAGGATGCCTATAAATAAGGATCCCACAGTTCAATAAGCAATTAAGACAATCCTGATTCAAGTGATTAGAGCAAAGGTTGTCTCTCTCATAGTTTCCAAGATTCTCTCCCATATCTGTTTTTCTTAGTCTTCACCCAACAGCCATCTCCATACTTTCAGTTTATTGTCTGCAATTTTCACATCTCCAATACTATTCATTCAGTACACCCCATTTGGACCCACTACATAAAAATTTTGATCTACTTTTATATTTATACTACTGTAAATCTTAGGATACAGCAGTCATATCCCAAGCAAAATCAATACATACAAATTTGTTGTTTTTCAGGTACAGAAAGTTTTAACAGTCCGTCTCTCTGAGGTTGTTCGACATTGAACAAACAATAACTGGTAAATTGGAAAATGGGAAAGAAGAATTACCATTTGCATCGATGGATTCAACATTAACAGAATCTTGTGCAAGTACATCTGCTTCTGCAGACATCTTAGCTTTTGTCAGCCAATGATACCTGTTGATTCTACCGTTTCTGACAACGGGCTGGAAATTTTTGGTTGGCAGTGTATTTGCAGCTATTGTGCTGACACTAACAGGATTCACCTAAAAAAATCCAAAAGTCATCACAGGAAACCAAATAAAGATAAAATTTTATAAACTTATCAGCAATGTTAGGTACCCAGAAAATTTTTCCAGAAAAAAAAAACATTGAATGGTTGAAATTCATTATAAATGTGGGTGGACTATACAACGATTAAATCTAAGCCACAGATCAATTTTCTAGGTAAATTCCTGGTCAATTTTTTCTGGGTTCTTAGGCTGTAAACTTATTGACAACACTAATAGTGGTGGGAGCTGAAAAACAAATTTTACATGTTTTGTAACTTATATGAAACCAAAGTAGATAGAGAATAGGAAATTAGAGAAATTTTTCATGACTTTTTAATATGAGTTGAATTTTTTTTAGCTTTTTTAGTGACTTTTTGACTTTTTAGCTAAAATATAATCTCTTGCCAAACGGACATCTCTCTATGGAAATCTCACATTCTTCAAGAATTTGAACTATTTAAGACTAAAACAAGAAGATGAGCACCTATGAAGCATGGGTATTTCGACAAACATGCCGTATCGTACTTATCGGTGTATGGTTTTGTGTGGTACCAGGTACATGAAACACGTACTCAAACTTTTTCTTCTTAATTCTTGGCATACCTAAATGTACTTAATATATACCTAAGCCGTACCGTATCTCAATTAAAATAATATTTTCTTCTACTATCGAGATAAAATAACTTTCACTAGACTTCTTTTTAATTTTTAATTTTATGCTTAGCATGATTTTAAAATTAAGCTATGGTTTGTAAGTTATTTAATATAATGACATTTATACCTTTACTTTTGCCATTAAATGTTAATTATAAGTTGGATCTTAACAAATTAAACTATTTAATTAATTTTTACATTAATCCAAATTAAAAATAAATATTTTTTACAAACGTACTAAACTGTACACTTATCCTACTTTTTTTGAATTTTACCATATTGCCGTACCTATATTGTACCAATGCTAGTACTCGTACTAGTACCCCGTACTTCATAGATGAGCACACAATATTTAAAAATCTCACATTCTTGAAAGAATGTGAATTATTTAAGACTAAAACAAGAAGATGAGCACACAATATTCAAAATGTTATCATTTTTCTATTAAAAAAAAAAAAGTCCCTAACCAAACAAAATGCTTGAATTACATTAACACAACAATCTTATTACTAGTGAGATTCTTAGCAATAGGATTCTCATTCCCAATTCCTGCCATCCAAACATAGTCTAAGAGAAAGGCAATTGGAAACCCAAAAGATCCATAAGCCAGTGATGATAATCTATAAAATGGCTAATTCAAATACCAAAACAATTAGATCTTCTATTCAATTCCTAATAATGATTTAAGCCAGTATGAGTTTGCTTACTAAGATAGGGGCACCAACCAACCATTCAAATTTGGGTTTTTATGTGGATTTTTTCAAACCTGTAAAGAAATTTGACTCAAAACTTCATCAGTTCAACTAAACCCAATAAGGTGGAATTTTCTAACCATTCCATTTCTTCTTCAACATTTTCTCAGTAACCAAACAAGTTCATCTAGGCCTAAAATTGAAATCCAAAATAATCATAGACTACAGTACTGTGTTTTTTTTTTTTTTTTTTTAATTTTTTTCTATTTGAAACCCAGATCAGCAAATCGCAGCACTGATTCATATATCAACAATTGAAAACTTTCAATCTTGATAATATATATAGATTTTATATACAGAAAAATAAAAAATAAAAAATTGATATATTTACCTTGTTGTTGAGAGGAGGAAGAGAGAGAGATGGACTCAGAAGAGCCGCCATGGAAGAGCAGTGACTCTCAGTGATCGTCTGAAGATTAATTCTTTCAATTTCTTTATTTATTTACTTATTTTTTAGTGTATAGTTCTATATAAATATGCACCACTCCTACCAATTTCGCGGCTTGCATTTCACGAGTGATGAGCACCTCAAGTTGGTTATTTGGGTTGGGGTTAAAACGTAAACCTCGAAAATAAATAATAATAATAAAGAGAAATTTAAAATATTTTTTTTAAAAAAAAAACACAATATTGTGCTCAAAAAGTAATTCCAATCTATTCATCAAATATTCAGTAAAGGACCTACATTTTTTCCCATCAAATTGGAAATTTATCAAATTCTTCAGAGTTAAAATTTGATGAAAAATTCAAAACATGATACATTGGAGAACATGTTTTCATCAAATTTAATGAAAAGATAAATCTCGGATAAAAATGAAATCTTTAAAAATATTTTGATAAAAATTTGATTAAAAAATTAGAATAATTCATATCAAATCAAATATTTTATCGAAATTAAGAATCAAATTAGATGCAAAAAATTAATAATATTAGAGATACTATAACAAATCAAACTTTGTACTATGAAAGCATGTTAAAAACTAACTTTTTTATTTTATTTATTTATTTTTTAAATATGTAAAAAAATAAAGAGGTGATATAATTAAAAAAAAAAAACCTATTTTTTAATCAACTTGCCAAAATAGGCCACCACCCATGCTTTTCCCTTTCGCTTATTGCCCTATTTTATTCTTGCCACTACTTCACGCCCTCTCATTTCCCTTCTTTGATCGGTTCTAAATAGAGAACCTTTATATTTTGTAATCGAATAATTATTGTGCACTTCACACAACAACGGCTATTGTGTAAGGTTCAATAGGCTCATATTTTGATAATTTAAATTGTTTATTTTTAGGATATATCGAGTACAATATACCTGTAAAAGTTGATTAAATATGGATAATCCTGTCATTAAATCATATATGTATTCGATTTTATTCTAAATCATACATGTCATTCTTTTGTGCATATACAAATGTGATTTAATTAAAGAATCATCGATATCTGATTAACTTGATTTTGATAGATATATTCAATCCAATTTGTCTCCAGTTGGAGATCAAGACTAGACCATCCAGTCCGGCCCATGAGTCTATTTTTTAGCCCCATTTTGATAATCTGAACTGTTCAATATGTAGAACTTGTCAATTACTATATTTTTGTAAACAATTACGTTGATCAGATACCGATAGTTATTTGATCATGTTAGTTTTGTATAAAAAAAATGTAATGAAGATGCAAAAATCCAAAAATGCAAAAATATCTGACCAACGTAATGAGGAATAAATCGCAGTGTTTCTTTTTTTATTTACTATCTGTATTTCTGACCGGACACTTGCACCCATTTATTTTATTTTAATTTATTTAATTTATCCGCTTGCGCTACTACTACTACAAAAATTTTAGAATTATTTTATTTTTTTATTATCTTGTTGTGACACTGAACCTTTGGGTACCGGGTTTGGGTCATGACAAAAGTGGTATCAGAGCAATAGTTGTTAGGTTTAAAAATAAAAAAAAATAAAAAAAACTTTAGTTTGTCTAACACCATTAAACTGTTTTATAACTATTTATAGGCTAAGTTTTCCTGTATTATAAGAAATGACAAACCTAATGGAGTTATTCTGGTTCAAGCCCCCATGAGCTCATCTTATCCCAAACCTATTAGAAGGCTGGGGAGATTCAAAGAGTCTTGTCAGGCAAGCCCACCCAACACTTGACCGACTCATGGGGAGACCCGTATAGTTATAAGCTAACCCCAAAGATGATTTCTTATTTGGAGACTTAGCCGAGGCAGCACACGCAAGAGGTACATTGGGTCGACCCACGTTGTTGGTCTTGCTCCGGACCTAGGATATTTGCACTTTCTGGTCGCACCTCTACCCCTGGGCTTTGTGGAGAGGAGAGGGCATGCATACCTTAGCAGCTGCATACGCACTACGACGCCTCCTCTACAACACATTATCCATACCCCAGCTGTGGATTTCATTGACAGTGCATCATATTTAGAGATATCGGTACGGGTTACCCAACGGGACTTTTAGGGTTATGATCACAGTGTTCCTGTCTACATAGTTCGAGTGGTATGGAGTTACTTTGGAATAGATCACAGTGGGTGAGAGTTTGAGTCTCTCATGCAAGGTGAGTTTGCAGGGTTATTTCATGACCCAGTTTTCTAAAGCCAGATTTCGTGGTGGCTTAACGGTCCATTTTAGACGTTCGACAAGGAGATTTTTGTGACTTGATCATGATTAGTCTGATCCATATGTTTTTGTATTAGTAGGATTACACACTAACTCTTGACTGTTATCTAAGTATATTGTACTAATATCTTTTCTTTTGCATAAGTATAACATCTTTTCTTTTGCATAAGTAAAACAAGTGTCTTGTAAATGATATATGTGCGATTATAGGATCTTTGTAAATCATAGATATGATATTGTGATGATTAAATCCGTAAAATTTGGTATAAAAAAAAAATTAAAAAATCCACTAACCATTTTCACTTTGTAGTAATGGCTAATGATGGAAATGGAACCGAATCGTCGATCAATAGTGCCGACCCAATGGAACAAATTATGCAAAGATAGTTACCAGTTTTCTACGAGCCCTACAAACCAACATGAATAACGGAATGCCTAAACGGCGAGAAGAGCCAATTACAATAAAATAGTTCCAGGACTTGAAACCCACCACATTGACCAGCAGTACAAACCCATTGGTAATAGAAGCTTGGGTTAGAGACATGGAGAAAATTTTTCACGAGTTACCTTGTCCAGAATGATAGAAGGTAACCTTTGCCACATTCACCTTCAAAGACAATGCACAGGAATGGTGGCATCTTACCCTGGAGAAAGAAGATATCGTGACTTGGGCAAGATTCTTGGAAATATTTTATGAAAAATACTTTCCAAATTTGTTGCGGGAACAAAAGGCGTCGGAATTCATACATCTAAAGTAAGGAACCATGACAGTGGCTGAATATGAGAGCAAGTTCACGTAACTAGCTCGATTTGTGACATATGTCATTCCCACCACAGCTCAAAAAGCAAGAAAATTTGAAATAGGATTGGATACTGAAATCAAGGATAGGCTTAAGGTTTTGAAACTACCAACCTATGCGGAGGTGGTGAATCGAGCATACATTGCGAAAAAATGGATTAAAACCTCACGCTCCGGGAAACCAAGCCAAATGAAGCAATTTTGGAAAAGAGATAACAGAAGATCCAGTGTTGCGCCTTCCAAGAGGGTAAATACAGGCACAACCAGTTCAACTAGTTTAAGCAATCAAGGTCCTACTAACCCCAGAGGTGGCACTAGTCCTAATTGTCCTACTTGTGAAAGGGCTCATTGGGGACGATGCTATCGAGACTCGGGAGCATGCTTTAGATGCAGTCAAGTTGGCTACTTGTTGAGAGATTGTCCAAAGCTTACCAATCCTACAATCGGCCCCTCTGAACCACTCAGAAAACTTGGGGTACTTGGCGGAATGAGGAAGGACCAAAAAAGCCAAGGAAGGGCTTTTACCTTGGTACCTGGAAACCCAGAACTTACCGAGAATGCTGTGTCAGGTACACTTTCTATCTGTGGTCATTTAGCTCATGTTCTCTTTGACTTTGGTTCCACTCATTCTTTTGTTACACCACACTTTGCTTCCAAGTTAATATCAACACCCGAACCCTTAGGATATGTATTGTTTGTGTCTTTTCTTTCTGGTACTTCTGCCCGTAGTGCTAATGTATACAAATCTTGTACTGTATCCTTAAAATGTGAAACCTTATATGTAGACTTGATTCCCTTCTGTATTAGTACCTTTGATGTGATCTTAAGAATGGATTGGTTGGCTGTCAACCATGCCTCTATGGATTGTGAAACCAAAAAGGTTTCCCTCCAGTTACCAAACCACCTCGAGCTTATCTTTGATGGAACTGGAGTTTCTTCCCCTCCATGTGTTATATCCTTCATGACTGTAATAACCCCGATCCGTAATTAGCTACTAATCCGTAATTAATAATGCTAATGAGAGGATTAAAATAAATTATGTGTTTATTCTGTATTTTGCATGATATTTGGCTCTCTATCTGTTGCCTGTAGAAATATCTGTTTAGAATTCCGCTTTGATATGAAAATTGAAAGCCTTATCGGCATCCGAAACCGAAATTGATTACACCGATATGTTATTTGGAATTTTTAGAACCATATGGCAAATTTTATTAAAAATTGATTCAAATCTATTCGTTAAGTTGCGTTTGGCAAGCCTTATATTTTAATTAATGTATTATAGCATCATAACTATAAATATGAGCCCTTTAAGCTCATTTCAGCTGATCCTTGTTCATTTTGAGTGCAAAAATCTGAGGATTTATTTTAGAGAGAGAGAGTGTGCAATTTTAGAGAGAGAAGAAGAAGAGATTGAAGGAGAATTGAAGAGTGGATTGTGTAATTGAGCTTCTAAACTTGAAATTAAAGACATAAGGTAGAGAATTCATCTTCTCCATTGTGATTTTGAGTTACTTCTTGCATGGTTCATGGTGAACTAGAGTGTAGAGTCAAGTTTTGGTTCTAAATGTTGAATTGAGTAGGAATTCTTGCATGCATGTGTACATTGTTGAGTTTTGAGGTTGTTTTCATGAAAACTTCCACATGCATGTTCATATTATGGTTCTAGTTCATGATTCCCTCATGTTTTTGAAAGGATTGGCCCATTTGATCTTGTTTTAGAACATTGGAGTTTCAAGGAACCCATGCATGTGTTGAATTTGCATTGTTCTTCATGTTCTTGAAGTTTATTCGAAAATTGTGTTCCATTGAACTACCTTTGGGCTTTGATTTCTCAAATTGATCTTTGAAACATGTCATACTATGAGTTTACAAGTGCTTTCTAGAAAATTAGCCCAAAAGGACCGAATTTGGTAAATTTAAAGTTGATTTTGAGCTTGAAGGTTCAATCTGGAATTTTCAGATTTTGGACTCACACTCAAGCGGTGGAAGTGGCGCTCGAGTGTGAAATGCGTGTTTCCAGCACTTTCATACGTTCTGCAGTCTGCTCGAGCGGGGTAATGCATGCTTGAGCG